ATATATATATATATATATATATATATATATATATATATATATATATATATATATATATATATATGTATATATATATATATAAAGGTTGTTTTTGCTTGCTGTCGAATGGTAGATAGTAAAGGTGATAAAAGTAATTTGCAATAAGTGCCAGGAATAAATATGTTTATAAACTTCCGTAAACTATAAATAACCAATCACCCAGGCTGAACGTATTTGTGGCAATAGCAGCTTAGCTTCTAGCACCTCTTTCGACCTCTTTCTGAATTAAGTGTCAATTCTTTGAATGATAGCGAAATTAAATTGAGCAAGAAAGGCTGGTTTTCAAAACCATATCAGCTCGTAGATAAAACAATAATAAAAGCAGGAGAGCACTTGCCAATTCGATTTAAAGTGTTTTCTCTTTCGGTGTCTAGTGTGAAGGAGAATGCAACTGGGGCGATAGTACAGAGAGGAAAGACAATTTTTGTTCTTATGCTTCTCCATAAATAATTTGTGGGAGTTGTAATCGCAGGCATTTCTCATTTGTATACTTCTCATCCTTGAAACCTATCCTTTGCCATGGTGAAATTGAATCTTGAGAAATAATATCACGAAAGTGTCATTACCTTGGCTGGATGGACTCAATGCTGGCATAAACTGATTCAAGCTGGTTGCCCTTCGCTTATCTTATCTTTACACAGCGTTGAATTCGGTTGCCCGCGGTTAAAGTAGTTTGATTCTACAGTTCTATCATGCGACTGCAAAAACAAGCTTCAGAAATAACAGCCTCCTTAACTTGATTTAGTCAGGATTAAAGGAGTCCTGTTGTGCGGGAATCAAAGGTGTGTCTGTTGTGTGGAAGCAATCGATTTTGTAACCTCTTCGTCATCTGCCTCGTATGTTAGTTGGGGTGTGTGTAAGTGAGACTGTTCTTTTGCCACCGTGAGAACTGTCCTGTTGGCGTCAAACTGTAGCTTATCGTACCTTGTTCCGCCGACTGACCTCTGCATTTGAGGCCTTCCACCACCGAAGAATCCGCCTGCTTGAATCATCTCTGTTCCGGACGCCTTGTGTCCTTTGTCTCGAGCCCCGACTTCTGAAATTCGCTGCTCCTGTATTTCGACAGTGGTATCTGCCTCGACGAATCTGGGACCAGGTTCACCCGACCTAGAGGCAGCTCCACGTACTTGATTGGATTCTGTAGTCCTTGTTATTGTTGCTGCCGTTGAGTTCCCAGTTGTAGCTATGCTACCTGCTCTATACGTTTTTTGGTCTAATTGAAGTGATTTCCTTTCCGTATTCTGTTATAAATAAGATAAAAAGATCATTCTCAAATGAAGATCATTTTATATTGCATAGGGGCTATATACTTTTGAGGACTTTGACTTATAGGGCAGTGATTCCCAAACTGCGCCGCGGCCTCTACAGGGGCGGCGCGAAATATTGTAAAAGCTTGAATTTGAGAAAATGTGCAGTGATTTGCAGGCTCATCCATCACATTAATTATTAAATATTAGTTTAATGTTAGTAAAGTAAAAAAATAATGAAGATACACGAGTTTTATTTTTTTATCTCCTACTTACGGATAGTCATACTTAGGCTAGGGCGCCATGGACAAATTTTAATTGAAAAAGGGCGCCGCGACTAGGAAAAGTTTGGGAACCACTGTTATATGGGAAGCTCCAGTAATTCTTATAGGTCAGGTTTTAAAACGACATCTTAAATGAC